TGAAAATTTAAAACCCCATTTATTTGACCATTTTTCTACAACTGAAATTGCTTCCTGAAGTTTCTTTACAATAAATTCTAAATTTGTTCCTCTTTTCCAAATTGCTCCATCATCTTCAAATAATGAGAATCCCATTCCACCCTCTATTTCTTTAAACATATCATTAACTATCACTGAAAATAATAACGGACTTACTATACTTCTCTGTGGTGTCCCATTTTCAATTTTCCAACTTTCAGAATAATCCTTCCCTATCCTCACTTGTATTCGTCTTTCTTCTAGAAAGTATTTAATCCATCTAAACATATGACCATTGATACCCATTCTTCTAATTTTAATTAATAACCCTTCCCTCCACATCATATCATATGCTCTCTCAATGTCAAAAAATACTGCCACAACACTTTCTTTATTCACCTGTGCCTTTCTAATTTCATGCTCTAAACACAAAACTGGATCCATTATGTTAGGGTTCCAGTTTGTGGGGGTTGTTTTGTTCTTTTTCTGTCAGTTTTTCAGTGTTGTCCTGTTTCTCTGACTGTGACTGGCTGGATGTGCTCTCTTGTAAAATGTAAAGTATGATGGTGGTTTTAGTGGAGGCATCGGCGAACCGAGCATTGAACATGTCAGTGCGGCTGCTGCAGTAGTAGAACCTGTAGTAGGCCGAACAGTTTTCAGAGCCCCAAACTATGTAATGCAGACGTCCCAAGTCTCCCAGAAGTTCCGGAAGTGTCCCTGATATAGATAGTTGTTCACGGATGCCCACGAGTCTGATAAATTATCCCGGATTTTAGACTTTGTGAGGTGGAGTTTATTTAATGCGAGTGAGAGCGTGCAGACAATACAAGGATTGGTGCACCATGTGAGGATGAGAACTGCTGCGATTGCGCAGACAACAAGAGAGAGATCGTGGTGTGGGGAGAAGGTTGCTTGTGAAACCTGTGCAGCGGATCGTCCAAAGTGATGCTCTGTTCAACCAGCGTTCCAGGCGACTGGTTGGTCAGAGAGCTGATTGGATCAGTCCGATAAGTTTCTCTGGTTTACTCTCTGGCAGTCACCCAGTTTCCACTCAAAGCTGTGCTTCCTGTGAAACAGCAGAGGTTCAATCCTCGAGTAAAAAACCAAGATATAGGACTAATTTTACAGCAGAATATACTAATATATATCCACGTCTAGTGAAGGGAAGGAACAGTGGCAGATCTAGAACCAATGGACCAGGAGGCCATGAGGAGGGCAACGTGTTTTCATGGTGGCCCAGAAAAAAAATTAGAATAAAAAAACAGGGCAAGGAATTCAAATATATTAGGAGAGCTGCATGAAGGGAAATTTCTTTTCAATTAGGTCAATATACATTTAAAATTTAGGAGTTTTACATATTTTTGACCTAATTTAAGTTAAAACTACAATTTTCTATAAATTAGAATTTGAACTCAAGAAGAACTGTTAAATTCATCTGTAAAAATTAGAGCATTTTTTTTATTTGTAATGGAAAAAACATTTGACAGATGAAAACTGGGATCCTATCTCAATACCACTGAAACTATCACCTTATTGTTTTTGAATAATTAGTAAAACAGAATTTGTAATGAAACAATGAAATAGATCCAAATGACATCAGTAATCATGTCTGTTCCAGCCCAGATCTTCATTAGAATTTCTTTTAAGTATTATGTCTTTAGTACAGGGGCCATAACAGGGGCCAGGACATGATCTACAGGGGCACTGGCCCCCTTTGGTCCCTGTCTAGAACCGGCCATGGTGAGAAATGATGACACCGTGGCGAGGTGCACTGTATGCTGAAGTCCCATGAAAAACAGAAAACACAACCGATGTTTAAGGCTACAAGATTGAAAGTAATTTGTTTGGTGTTTAAGAAATCACTGTCAGTTAATAAACAGTTGTTGAAAAGTTGCTGGCCTTAAGTGTGTATAGGGCATGGTGTGGGTCTGTTGTCCTCGGGGGGCGGGCGGTAGTGGGATAAGCATCTCCCTGAAATGGGTTTTTGGAACTTGGGATGCAGTGATGGGACTAACGGCGTTGAAAGTAACGTGTTTCAGTAATGAGTAATCTAACTAATTACTTTGACTGTAACTATAACGCAGTTACCATTGCAGACACCCCGTTACTGCGCGTTACTCAGGTCGCACAATGAACCTTTTTTCATGATAGGACTCGTGCGCGGAGGAGGAGATTGGCTGATGTATAGTGAGATTCCGTCTGTCAG